ATTAGCACTGGATACCTCTAAGTTTGAAATAATTCTAGAAGCATCTCCCTCCAAATAGGAAATCAAATAATGAAACTTGTGTATGGGTGCTATACGTTCATTGTTATGTATAATCGACAAATATGAGTCCCGAAAGTCTAACCAGCGGAAGTAAGCACCGTCAAACTTTGCAATTTGTATCTGCGGCAATTTGAAGGGAACCTCTTCGTTATCAGTACTAAGACGAACAACAGACCTATTGCTAGAATTCAGATTATCATGGGCTGCATTAGTTTCACTCTTTGCCTGATAGCTTTGAATAATATTTTGAGCTGTGGCAATGTTATTAACAAAATTCTGTTCAATATCATCTCTTTCATCAATTTCTGCTAACAACGAATCAGAGTTTAATACCTCTATTTGACTTTGCAAGTCGTCGAATTTATTAAATAGTGATTCAAATCTACTCAACTTCAATTTTAACTCCGATAATTCAAACGACCTTAATTCATCCTTAGAACGGATTTTCGCCAAAAAAATTTTAAACTTTGTAATTCTACCTTTAATAGAACTTCGCTTAATAATTAAGTACTGTAACTCTTGATGATCATTGTCACTGCCTTCTTCACCTTCCTTGGTCATTTTATAATAAAAATTGAATAACTTTGTGTGAGTACTGAATATTAACTGCTATTACTTAGTCGATAACAGTGAAGAAAACAAGACAATTGAAAAAAAAATGAAAATGCTCACGTTCCTTAATGAGGCCGGCTTGAATTCAGCTTCTATTATCACCTTCACTTTATTGATTTATTCCAAATTTTATTCTGTTAACTCTGCTGTTGCTGTTTAAACTGTTGAGAAGTTGTCCGTGTATAGATATTTCCATAAGCTGAAATGTTCGGCAAATCTCTTTGAAAATTCACATAAAAACAAACTAACAAAATATTACTGTTATTAAAAGAAAGACAATCTCTTCTTAGCAATATGTCTCGTTATTATTTATTGATTTGATTTTGTAGCTGTACTAAAGTTAATTTTATCAAAGTAATTTAGAAGAAATAATTATGCTTTTATATGACTCGATTTATTTGTTTTATTATTTATAGTAACAAAACAAAACTGCAATTAATAAGATGTGTAATTTGGTTTTTGTAAGAAAGTAGGTATGTTATGGCTAAATAGAAACGGTAATGTTCATTACAATAAGTTAATTAACTAAAGCTTTATATTACATATGTTTTATTAAATACTATAATTTTACGGAGTTTTTGTTAAATAGTATAATATATAGGGAAATGGGATGATGGATTAGAAATGGAAAATTGGATATAAAAGACAAGGAAAGTCACTTAGCTGCATTGGCCTGGCTGCGGCACGATGATTTAGTACTAATTGTACTTAGTTAATGTAATCATACACCGGCTTGACTGCAATGGCTTATTTTCTTTCCAAACTTTGTCGAATAGTATTAATCTTCGTATCTTCAATAATTAATGATGCAACTTCTTGAAAACGTGGCCTTATGGCACCAACCACTGTAGGTTATATAGGATGCCAATTTTTCCAAAATATATCGTCCTGTCACGGTCGCCACTTTTTATGTCTCTTCTTTGGACATAAATGAAACTCCGTAATGTGGTAAACGTTTGTATTTCAATACTTTAACATGAAAAATCTAATTATTTTATAAAGCTAGTACGTCGCCATTACGTGAGAATAATGTGAATGACAAAAATCTGAAGGTAGTGTAAAAAGTAAAAAGTTCCTATGAATTAAATCGCTTTTGAGTCCATGGGAGATTGCTGCTGTCGAAACGCAGGCGCGAACAAGCAGCAACCAATCTTGTTTCGTATGTCAATGAACTAACGAAATCAATCGACTCTGGCGTAGAAATAGATTCCATTTATACAGATTTTAGCAGTGCGTTTGACAAGGTTGACCACAATATACTGTTTATGACAATTAAGTGTTTTATTTATTTATTTAATTCAGGTAACAAACAGTCTTATACAAACAATTTTACAATTTATGTTTACAAATAGACCTAAAGTACCATTAATTGATATACAATTATTATATTCAAGCGGCATAAAAGTGACGGATAACTATAAACATATGATATACATCGCCGCTGCACATGTTAACTATTTAAACAATAATTCACTTATTTTCCTTTTGAAGCTGTAAAGTGATTCACTGAAAATATCTGCTTCATTCAAGTTCTTATTGTAAAAATTACATGTCCGTCTAAAAAAGGTTTCTCTAGCATAGTTGGTATGGCAACTCGAAACATAAAAGGTATCTTTTGAACGTGAGGAGAAACGAGGAACTTTGAGTACAATACTCTGCACAAGTTGAGCTGAGTCTATGTGATTGTTTATTATTTTGTACAGAAACATGGCATCCAAATACTGGCGTCTACAGACCAATGACTGCACTTCATGTCTTTTTGCACTCTCTTCATAATCATTATAATAAAATCCGACACGATAATCTAATGATTTTATGAATTTGCGTTGTACACGCTCTATTCTATCCTTGTGCACAGCATACTGAGGACTCCAGACCACGCTACCAAACTCCAATATACTCCGAACGTATGCGTTATAAAGGATCTTAAGAGTACTGCCCCTGGCGAAAGGCTTTCCTAGTCGTAGGATTAGCCCCAACTGCTTAAACGCCTTGGCTACCATACTGTCAATATGCAAATTTAAGTGCAACTTGGAATCCAGAGTTACTCCTAAATCGCGAATAGAATTCGTGCGGATTATACTTTGATCAGAGATTCTGTAATTATACTGGATAGCATTATTTTTACGAGTAAAGGTTATTACATGACACTTATCTAGGTTCAAGAGCAAGTAATTGTTTTTACAAAAACGTTCAAAATTGTTCAAATCTTTCTGTAAACTTTCACAATCATCAGAATTTCGCACTATTTTATAAATTTTTGTATCGTCAGCGTACATGAGAAAGTGAGAGCTAGTAAAGCAACGGCTGATATCGTTGACATAAAGACAAAATAAAAATGGTCCCAGGTGGGACCCTTGCGGAATTCCTGAGGGAATATTTAAGAATCTCGATCGGTAACCCTTGAGTGCAACAGCTTGACTACGATTTCTGACATATGACTCAATCCATCTTAGCAGATCGCCATGTATACCGACCCCGAAAAGTTTTTTTATTAATAATGAATGATTAATTTTGTCGAACGCCTTCGAGAAGTCGGTATACACGGCATCCACCTGATATCCAGCATCCATAACATTTAGTACGAAATCAGTGTAAGTAACCAAATTTGTATTGACACTTCGACCTTGGAAAAAACCATGCTGTTCTGCGGTCACGGTATGTTTCAATTGACTCGACAAAAATGAAGTCACTATTTTTTCAAAAATTTTTGCTAGAACACATAGCTTTGAGATTGGCCTATATTGTTTAACATCGTGTTTGTTACCACCCTTCGGAATTGGTGTTATTAACGCTTTCTTCCATATCATCGGGAAACTTCCTTCAGAAAGAGATTTCCTAAAGATGATTGTAAGTGGTAATGACAATTCAGTACAAAGCCTACGAATTAAAATTGGATGAACATTATCCCTACCAGCGCCTTTATTAATATCCACTTGTTCAAATAATTTAGCAACTGATTTCTGAGATATAAATACCGAAGATATGTCTACCAACGGTGATGCGTTACTACATGTTGGGTGATCAAGATTGCTAGTGTTACCATGGCATACGAAAACTGAATTAAAATATTCATTAAACATATTTGTGATAGATTCAATATCCGTTGATGTCTCATTGTTATAGGTCATGTGTGTAGGGACATTCTGTTATGGAATTCACGGACCCCTACTGCTATGGCTCCGTTCTTACTTAGAGCATCGGTTGTTAAGGGTAGTTGTGAACGGCTACAAATCGGAACCATTCCTCACCTCGTCGGGAGTACCCCAGGGTTCGATCTTGGGACCAATTCTGTTTCTCGTTTTCATTAAAGATATCCCTAATATAATCCAGTATAGCAACTGCTCTCTTTTTGCCGACGATTTAAAGTTGTATCGACCGATTAAAAACGAGGAAGATATACTTTTGCTCCAAAAAGATCTAGACTCGGTATCGGAATAGTGCGTAGACAACGGTATGACTCTTAACGCAAGTAAATGTCTATTTATAAAATTTACCAGAAAGACAAAAAACATTAACGCTTCTGTCTATACTATTAATTCTGCACAGCTAACCGAAGTGGGTTCGACTCGTTATCTGGGCATTGTAATTGACAAAAAGCTGAACATATTAACGTTGTTGTTGCAAAGGCATTAAAAATGTTGGGTTTCTTGAAACGTCTATGTAAGAATTTCCATAACACCGCAACAATTTTATGCTTGTATAAGAATTTGGTGCAAAGTATTCTAAGAATACAGTTCCCAAGTCTGGAATCCGCAATATCGAGTCCACATTGATAGAATCGAGCGAATTCAACGTAATTTTACGAGGTTTCTTGCTTTCAAAGACAGGAAGTGTCCTTACCGTGCGGATTACCACACTCGTATCAAATACTTTAAACTTCATACCTTGAAAAAGCGTAGAAAAACCGCGGGCGTTTTATTTCTGCACAAATTACTTCACGGCAATATTGTTGCGCAAGACCTTCTTGCGGAAATTAAGTTAAAGGTTCCCAGAAAAATCCCCCGCCAACCCATCAAATCATTCGTTAACTGTCCCTTTAAAACAAAATTAACTTCACCGTTTAACAGAATTAAAGATGCATACAACGAGATATGCCATGATGTTGACATTTTTCATGCTCCACTCAAAGCCCTCAAAAATCATCTGTATGGTAACGTTCAAACCGAAAAGTAATTAGTTTCTGTTAAAAGTATAAGTACATACATATAGTCAATGTTGTACATGCCTGCAATGGCAATTCACACGGTTGAGTACTACCTGCATCTTTAATCTTTATTGAAATTTGTGAAATTGTGTAAAATTTGGACATTGTGTATGTTGCACAGATAACGTGCGTGCTTTCGTCGGCGAGCACAGCGACGCCGCTTGTGGTAGGGTTCTGGTCGGGGCGCGCCGAGGTGTGGCGGGTGCGGGGCGGCGGGGCGGCGGGCCCGCGCCTGGCCCGGCGCTCCCTGCACGCGCACCGCGCGCCCCTCGCCGCGCTGGCCGCGTGTCACCGCGCCGCGCTGCTGGTCACCGCGTGCCGCGCCGGCCGCATCGTGCTGTGGGACCTGGCCCGGTGAGTATGTGGCGGGGCGGGGCGGGGCGGGGCGGGGCGGGGCGGCGGGGCGGCGGGCCCGCGCCTGGCCCGGCGCTCCCTGCACGCGCACCGCGCGCCCCTCGCCGCGCTGGCCGCGTGTCACCGCGCCGCGCTGCTGGTCACCGCGTGCCGCGCCGGCCGCATCGTGCTGTGGGACCTGGCCCGGTGAGTATGTGGCGGGGCGGGGCGGGGCGGGGCGGGGCGGGGCGGCGGGGCGGCGGGCCCGCGCCTGGCCCGGCGCTCCCTGCACGCGCACCGCGCGCCCCTCGCCGCGCTGGCCGCGTGTCACCGCGCCGCGCTGCTGGTCACCGCGTGCCGCGCCGGCCGCATCGTGCTGTGGGACCTGGCCCGGTGAGTATGTGGCGGGGCGGGGCGGGGCGGGGCGGGGCGGGGCGGCGGGGCGGCGGGCCCGCGCCTGGCCCGGCGCTCCCTGCACGCGCACCGCGCGCCCCTCGCCGCGCTGGCCGCGTGTCACCGCGCCGCGCTGCTGGTCACCGCGTGCCGCGCCGGCCGCATCGTGCTGTGGGACCTGGCCCGGTGAGTATGTGGCGGGGCGGGGCGGGGCGGGGCGGGGCGGGGCGGCGGGCCCGCGCCTGGCCCGGCGCTCCCTGCACGCGCACCGCGCGCCCCTCGCCGCGCTGGCCGCGTGTCACCGCGCCGCGCTGCTGGTCACCGCGTGCCGCGCCGGCCGCATCGTGCTGTGGGACCTGGCCCGGTGAGTATGTGGCGGGGCGGGGCGGGGCGGGGCGGGGCGGGGCGGCGGGGCGGCGGGCCCGCGCCTGGCCCGGCGCTCCCTGCACGCGCACCGCGCGCCCCTCGCCGCGCTGGCCGCGTGTCACCGCGCCGCGCTGCTGGTCACCGCGTGCCGCGCCGGCCGCATCGTGCTGTGGGACCTGGCCCGGTGAGTATGTGGCGGGGCGGGGCGGGGCGGGGCGGGGCGGGGCGGCGGGGCGGCGGGCCCGCGCCTGGCCCGGCGCTCCCTGCACGCGCACCGCGCGCCGCGCTGGCCGCGTGTCACCGCGTCGCGCTGCTGGTCACCGCGTGCCGCGCCGGCCGCATCGTGCTGTGGGACCTGGCCCGGTGAGTATGTGGCGGGGCGGGGCGGGGCGGGGCGGGGCGGGGCGGGGCGGCGGGGCGGCGGGCCCGCGCCTGGCCCGGCGCTCCCTGCACGCGCACCGCGCGCCCCTCGCCGCGCTGGCCGCGTGTCACCGCGCCGCGCTGCTGGTCACCGCGTGCCGCGCCGGCCGCATCGTGCTGTGGGACCTGGCCCGGTGAGTATGTGGCGGGGCGGAGCGGGGCGGGGCGGGGCGGCGGGGCGGCGGGCCCGCGCCTGGCCCGGCGCTCCCTGCACGCGCACCGCGCGCCCCTCGCCGCGCTGGCCGCGTGTCACCGCGCCGCGCTGCTGGTCACCGCGTGCCGCGCCGGCCGCATCGTGCTGTGGGACCTGGCCCGGTGAGTATGTGGCGGGGCGGGGCGGGGCGGGGCGGGGCGGGGCGGCGGGGCGGCGGGCCCGCGCCTGGCCCGGCGCTCCCTGCACGCGCACCGCGCGCCCCTCGCCGCGCTGGCCGCGTGTCACCGCGCCGCGCTGCTGGTCACCGCGTGCCGCGCCGGCCGCATCGTGCTGTGGGACCTGGCCCGGTGAGTATGTGGCGGGGCGGGGCGGGGCGGGGCGGCGGGCCCGGGCGCGTGCATGCTATACAAATTAAAAATGTGTATGTCGCATATTGTGTCAAGAATCCTGCGACACAGCAGCAAATAGACGTATTACGACAAATTGAAGCACATTGTATCCGAAAGCGATGAATTGCATGCAACAATTTTGGTACGACAAGACAGTTTGTAGGTTATGATTTCCTTGTTTATGTTAAGATTAACGATAATTGTGTATTGATAAGTTCCAAACATGATTAAAACACGGACCTCGCTGGGACCCAAAAGAGTTTTTTTTTAACGTCACTCATGCATTCTCGAAGTTGAACTGAAGCAAATAATAACATTCAATGTCTGAGCAGTGTTTCTTTTCTAGTACATAGCTGCTGTCCCTTCAAACTTTTTACGTACCTAACAGAAAAATATCATCGTAATGCAAGTATAACAAACGCGCAATATAATGCAAATTACCAATACTCACAATCCACACCCCCCGCCATGTTCCTCTCGTTTAAGATTTGTTTATTGTAAGTATATCATGATCACAATACGTATGTGTTATCAGACTGACGTACATCCGCACGCTGCCGAACCGCGGCATGCTGCCGGTGACGCACGTGGCCATCAGCCCCACTCTGGGCGACGTGGCCTCCGTGCACCGCACCGCCGCACCCGCGCGCTCTGCCACCCCCGACGATAGCCACCACCAACGATCCGACGTAATTATTCACAACCATCACATTCATACTACAGACTCAATTTACGAGGCTTACTATATAGCACATTACAAACGCGAAACTTTCGTGATGGTTTCGTATTTCTTTCAAATTTCTTTTTGGTATGGAATCCCCTAGAACTTGTTTTATTAACCGAGCATATGCAGTCATTTTATTTATTTATTTGGCATGCCAACATTTTTACACCCAACATAATTAAAAAACATATTTTATAGACAAAGTTGTGCAAAAACAGTTACAGGCATACTCAACAAGTTAGCTGGTCGGAAATTTGAATACTTCAACATTATTAAACTGCTTACAAAACTAATCCATTATAGCATTTTTAAGCTCTGAGATATGATATATGGTCAAAATAGTGAGTGAAAAGTATTTTTTTATTCAAAACAATACCGAGAGCTTGAATGGACGATACCTCTTCAAGAACTTCAGATTTTATAAAATATGCAGACTTTACCGGAGAACGTTTCTTACTAAATTTTATATGCCTACATTTGGCAGGATTAAGAGGAAGCATATTTGCGCATGACCAAATTGCTATTTCGTCCAGATCCTTTTTTAATAGCACAGCATCATTCGAATTTTGAACAGTTTTATATATTTTGAAATCGTTGGCAAATAATAAACAATTTGAGTATTGTATAACTCGAACCAGGTCGTTTATAAATGCTTGAAAGATCTCTCTTGATCCCAAATGTGTGCCCTCAGGAATTACTGAGTTTACTAGAATATAATCAGATTCATATCCACTAGTAACTACTTTTTGTGACCTCTCAGAAAGGTAAGAATGACACCGGTCTAATAAAGTGCCGTGTACACCTGCTGAGCATAATTTATTGAGCATTATAGAGTGATTTACCTTATCGAATGCTTTGCTTATATCGGTATACACCGGTATTAATTCATTTATATAGCATGCCAGATTTGTAATTTTAGACATCTTTTGACGAAAACTGTGCTATTGAGGAACGAGAATGGATCTGAGACGATTTGTTAATCTATAAAAAAATATACATATTTGTGCTGTAACTTTATTTTAAGACAGAAGATAATTTATATTCTTACATTAAAATCTCTGATAAAATTGTACTCTGATAACCAAAATCAAAATTGTGTCTTATTTCTTACGTAAAATTTAGTCTGTCAGTTAAATCAAAACTGAAAAAAAGATTGAAAATTACCATTAACGATAAAAGTTTGCAATTAGTCAGTCAGTTAAGTTTTAAATTCGATTGGTTTAAATGCAAATAAGTTTTTTATTTATTTAATCCATGAATTGAGAAATAAGTTCTAAGGCTCACTTGCACCAAATTTGCTAAATCTCGATTCAACTAAAACTAGCTATGTCCCATAGAAAGAATTCAAATCGTCAATGTCACTTCGACATAGGTTGAAGCTGGTTTTAGTTGAATCGAAATTTAGCCAAATCGCTGCAAGTGGACCTTAGTAAGTTAGCAAAGAAAGTGTGCAGAACTTATCTGATAGTACGTACACCTTTATGTTTTTACCGCATTTGTACAAATGAATAAATGGATTATGAATTATGAAAGTAACGTAACTTTGCACAGGAACAAGAGGATGAGTCGACGGAAGAAGACTACACGGCGTCGTACGAGCGAGACGCGCCGGAGAAATACCAGTCCATTATTAGGGTGCATACGGTCAACGCGCGATTCGTAGGTAAGTACGCTCTCTATTCACCTTAACCGTGTCACTTATTTCAATGATTGCCAAAGACACACTGTCATATTTTCATATTGTGTTTACACCTGAATACAGTTTCAATAAAATAGTGTTTTTTTCTAGTAAAACTTTTCTTTAGATTTAAAAATCTAGCAGTCTTATGCTTAAAAATAAATAGAAACGTAAGATAGTGTTATTAGAAAATTTAGAAATATGAGTTGATATTTTATGTGTATGTGAATAGTGGGTGCCTGCGACTTCGTCCGCGCGGAATTACTAAACTTAAATTATGTTTAAATAAGTATTTCAAGTCTATTAACTCAGGGAATAAGATTTTTAATGCAAACTTTGAAAACTCAAAATATTATAAAACCTTTAACGTATAAATGAACGTGGCGTTCAGCGTATAAAGGAACGTAGTTTGCTATTATATTCGATAAATCGATTCAACCAATCATGAATTGAATGTTTTATCGAAGTATTGTTTAAATTACTCAATAAATTCAAACATTATAGTCTGTTTTTTTTAATCTCAAAGACAAAGATGACACATGCAAATGTATGTTGTCTTAGAGACAAAAATAACACATGCAAATAGTGATACCAGCTTTTATTATGTAAAGTTGTATTCGCGATTCCGGTTTTTTAATTTTTATTTGGAGGATAATTTTTATAA